GAGGCGCTACCGGGCGTTTTCCTCTCGGTAACAAAGCTCTGGGGGAGATGCCAGCGACTACGTGTGTTTCGAGGGCGGAGGTCTTAGTCCCTCGTCGGGAAGGAGGCACCTGGAAGGGGTTTATGTGTTCTTCTCTGGCTTGGCTGACTAGGCAGGAGACAAGAGACCTGTGAGGTGATAGCAAAGGCTTCAACGTAGGCTGTTGCATTCTTGTATTGGGAAAAAAAAAAATAAAAAACCACCCTGTGTTTGTTATTTCTGTATTACTTAGGAGTGCAGAATTGACTAGTGTGTGTTCCCAGTTGCTTGTTCTACAGAAGCCATTCCCTATTTTCAATCATTATTCCCCTTTGCTTTTCTTTGTCTAATTCTGTATAATCTCTGGGATGGGGAGACCAAAACTGCACACGGTAGATTGGTTGATGTAGATTAATTTATACAAAGCATGAAAAGTTTGGTTTTTTTTAACATGTTAACTCTCAAAACAAAGAAAATACTTCTGTCTGCTCTTGAGTATTAAGACAATGTTTTCGGAAAACTAATTTTGAGACCTTGCTTTTTGGTGGTAATAGGAATCTTGGAGTCCCGTCACTGTATATACATTTAAGAAGGCTTTTTCCCTGATTGCATTTATCACATTTTTCTTAAATGATTTAGTCTACCATTTCATAATGAGGCCCTTCTGGAGTTCTGCTCTTGACATACCTGTTCTGAATAACCTGGTGGTGACGGTGTGATTTGCCCTCTTCATCCTCTTTTCTCACTGAGAAATATTGAGAGTCTGCTGCAGGACCCTCTGCTCCTCCATTGCCAAAGTTGATCCTTCCACTCTTAAGCCATTGTTTATGTAAGGAAGTCTCCTTATAACCCCAGTTAGATTAATTTCTTAAATAGTATTTATACTACTGACAAATTTTAGAATTTATAATGTATTTTGACTGATTACTGATGTGTTTGCAAAACCTATTTGAAGTCTATGTCAGTGAATTGTGTTTTGGTCAAGTGATGATTGTTCCCTTCTTAGGCAGCTGAGTAGTTGAGTTGCAAAAATGGCAGCCGGGAATGAGATGCAGGTATGTGCTTATGGACCAGAGTATGACTATCAATTGTTTTAATTATTAGCTTAAAGCACTGCTTCTGGTATTTAATTACAAGTAAAATTTGCAGGGTGGCAAAGAATGTTGTAAGAAGAAATCTTCCCTTGACATAAGTTAGTGCTAAGTAACTGGGTAGAAAGCAAGAGGAATTGGAAATTGTTATGGATGAAAATAAATCATGTGCATATGACATTAATCAGTCGGGATGATACTTAAAATACTGAAATCTGGTTATAATTGATTTTAAAAGAGTAGGGTGGCAAAAGAGTTGAGGAAGGCAGCAGTCTGCAAATATATTAATATATTTTAAAGTCACTAACAGATAACTTAGAAATGCAACAAATTAAATGTACTAAGGGAGGAGTGTTAACCCAATGAGCACTTATGTAAGCATTTATTTGTAATATGAGGAAAGAAAGTTAAGGAAACTTAAGCAAAACTGGCAAATAATTAAAAACTCAGTGAATAAGAATTTGCATGATGAATGTATTAGATATGGTATTCTGTACTTTAGGTTTTACATTTATTGATTTTGTGATTCAGAATATTTGCTTAGAATGCAACAGGTGATTGCATAAAACCTATGTTAAATCAGTATTGGTGTTAAGCACGCAGTAATACAGTTGCTCTGTGTTCTTTTTGACAGCTTGAAAAGTTAATTGATGAAGCTACAAGAAAAAAAGATTTCCAATTATTAGAACAATTTCTGGCAACAGAGGACTGTGAAAATGTCTCTCACAAATGCAGCAAACAGTTTGTCAACAAATTAGACAAGCTTCTGTGTCGGGTAATGTAATCATTACATCTGAATCATCTATACTGTCATTCTAATAGTCTGAAAAAACTTTTTTCATTTGGCTTGGGCTTATACCTGCATTTGATTTGAAAAACTGAAATAAAATTTAAGAATGAAATCTCTACTTTAACTTGCAATTAAGATGGCTTTTCAGATCAAAAAGGCATCTGGTTAACTGAATACAGGTTCTTCTAGAACTGTACATTAAAGCTTATGTTATAATTTTGATTTCAGGAACTTGACAAACAAGAAGTCAAAAGCATTTCCACTTTACTAAATTCTATTCAGAAATGTGGGAGAAAAATCAGCATAGCAGGAGAAGATGGGCTTCCAGCAATGATAAAATATGGTCTTATTGGAAGGATAAGTAAAACCATAAAGCATATCTGAATGTCTAAAAACAAATTAATAAAGCATGCATAAGTAATGCTTCAGTGCTGAACAGCTTAGTATTCAGTTTTGTCCTTGATTGTTTCTGAATTAAGAATTTCCCATAGCTTTGCAACAAACATTAGATTTAAATATTTTTTGACAAGTGGTTCCATATAAAGTGATGCTGCTCTACCACAGTGAAGATTTTGAAAATTATGCAATATATAATTAATTTAGATATGCTTACAGCAATTACAACAAGATTGTATCTTTTTATATGAGCTTGCTATACTGCTTTTGAGTCAGGAATTGGAATTTCCTGGTAAAATTTAATAATTTTTTGTTAATACTTGCAACAGCAATATTGTACCTGTTCTTTCAACAGATTATAGTGCTATTCTGATTATTTTGTGTTACTTCAACCCGCATGTTAAATGTGTTAATCATTTGTAACTCAATAAGTACACTGAAAAATAGACACCACTTCCTTATTGCTTTCACTAGAGATTTTACTGAAGAAAATTAATGGCAATGTCAGATGAGTGTTACTCAATTGCCTTCTCAACTGCTTTTAAAAAAAAAAAAAAGGTGGTGATAACTTCGTGCTTATATTCACACCTGCCAATGCGCTTTTTCATTCAGCCATTATCCATTTTCAGCTCTTTTGTCTGTGATGGCAGTTGTAAAAGTAGATCTCTAGTTTTTGTGATAGAAAGTCAGCTACAGAAATTACTTACATTAGTTTGAAATCACCTACATATGTTTAGTGCAAGTGAAAAATTTCAGTCTGGGGCTAAAGTATGCTCAGCAGACGGGTAACATTGCTGTTGTTTTAATCTTTGTATGGTTTGTATACTTAAGTGTAATACAAACTGTTGTCCTTTTTCATGCTATTAAAGTAGATTTATTTTCCCTTTACATGGTTAATTGGTTTGAAAAGGTAAAAGGAATTCTGATCCTCAGAGGAAATGGAAAGAATGAAATGCTTACAAGTCTGGCTGAAGATTTCTTCAACACATTGCTGGTAAAAATATATTGATAATAAAATACATTGTGTGTATCAAAATAATTATTACTGTTTTAGCAACTTTCAAATGTGTTTCTATTTATTATCCTTCTAAAGTTAATGTTACAGTGATTTCTGAAATAGATTATAAGTTTTTTTGGATAAATAGTTTGCCTGTATTCATACTTGTTTTCTGTTCATGATTGGCATCATGAAATAAAATTTAAAAAAAACCCCAACAATGTAAGTTTTCAATGAACAAAAAGATTTCATCTTGGTCTAATTTTGATTACATAAATGATTGGTATGCTAATCCCAGGACCCCAGGTTTGTAAGATCTTTGAGTTTTCTTCTGTTCATAAATTTTTTTGTGATTGGGGAAATAATTCCCTTAAATTCAACTGAAGTATAATTTTGGGAAACCACACTTGGTATTAGAAGAAGTCTCTTATGTTCTTCATTAAGGATGAATTAACTTTAAAATCTTAAATGCTTTTTGATTACTTGCTTTAGGTACATGTTACCCGATTTTTATGCTGTAATGTTTACAGTATCAAAATTATGTGTTTTGGTTTTTTATTGTAGGCTATATGTGATAGCAGACCTGAAGGTGAGCTTAAAAAAAAAAGTGTACACTAGGTATGATAGTTAAAGTGTTCTGACAGAGACATTTTAAAGTTATCAGTGTTAAAATAACTCTTACTACTTGTGGAGCCGTCTTGAGGCACGGTAGCTCTGAGAAGAACATGTATAATGGTACAATGTTGCTTAATCTAATGTAAATATACCACCAGATCTATATGCTTCAGCTAATAAACTGTAAGGGAAAAGGGCTTATCCTCAAGAGGGCTGTTCTGCACACAGAGGACTACGTTTCTCATTCATGTGAAAAAAGCTTGAGTGTCAACTGTAACTTCGATTGTTTAATTTGAGGTTTCTCTGACAGATTTCCTTGTAACTTCTGATGTCAGTAATAAAAAAGCAGGATAGTCTAGTCTCTTCAGAGACAGCAACTGAACTGAGTTTTTCCTAAAAAGGACGTTGTTTCTAAGCTACTGTCATAGCTCAGCGTAGCACGGTAGTCCTTTATTGACCTTGTTATCATGAATATCATGCTGCTTTTACCTTTTGGTATAGCACTAGGTAGAAAGTCACTACAGACCGTTATGCTGTCATGATCAAAATGAAAGATTCATTTCCTTGTCCCTGGGAAGATAAATTCCAGGGTCTGAATTATATCTCAGAGAGCTAAGTTATAGAATTGATCTCATTGTATTTTAAAAATAATGATCTCGTGCCCAGGGGACTTATGCAGTGATGCACAGGAATAGAAACATCATAAAGAGGCATATTTACTATAAATTGAAGTAACTATTCTGTCTTGCGTTTAACTATGAAACTTAAGATACTTTTTCTTAAATATCAGTAATTGTATATGGAAAGGAACTCATACCATATTTTATTTCTAAATGAAAATTAATCTTTTTCCAAATGCTCATGGGGGTCACCCCAATACACTCACGATAACTCTTTAATTTATTTTTTTCCTGTTTATTAGGTAAAATGGAAATACTAGAAAACTTTGTTCTGAGAATGTGTACCCTCATCACTGATGCAAGAATTAGTATTTATGTTCAGCAGGAGGTAAACATTCTTCTTTCTAAGCAACAGTTTTCTGGTTAGTGTTTTAATAGACTTTGTGAAGATAGTAATTTAACTGTACAGATGCTACAAAAAAGAGAATATGGTAGGGCTCTAGTATCGGAAGGGTGACAATGTTTCTCTGGAAATTGTCGTTTATATGTGGGGAGGGGTCAGATTACTGATTTATAATTTTTGGTTGGACAGTAAATTACAAAACAGTGGTATTAAGATTCTGGTGAGAAAGCTGTATAAATGTGTAGGAAATAATGTGCTCTATTATAATGGCTATAAATAGGATTAAGATGGGTTGTAAATGTCTTAGATACTTGCAGGAAATTTGTATACCTTCTAGTATACTGCAAATTTCTCGTATTTATTTTAGTAACCTCAGATTGTCACGGGTTTTTTTCTTCTCTAAAGAAAGGGAAAGTTACAAAAAGTAACTTTTTAAAGGCTACATCCCCAAAGGAAAGGCTTTTCAATGCAAATTTAAAATACACTTCAGCTCAGCAATTAAGTGCAGACAGAACTGTAGCTTTGAAAGTGGGTTGGTTTTTTTTTTCTATATTTAAACCTGCGAACAGGAAACATAACCCTTTAACAACTGATGTTCACATGAAAGCTAATCTAATTTATTGAAATTGAGGTAGTTATATTGAGATGAATACCATTTAAGGTCAGATGGAACTCATTGTCTTTTCTTGTTTTGCAGTTATTTAAGCATGACATTTTCTTCAGTGGTATGAAATATATTACAAGGGCCCAAAATAAAAATAACTTAAACAACTTATTTTATATTTAATCTTTACTCCCTTTTTTCCCACTCTTCTTAGGTGGTAAGAAAACTTAATTTAATGCTTGACAACATGCCTCGAGATGCCAGGAAAAAGATATTTTCGACAAAGGAAATGTTTCTTGTCATGTAAATAATCTTCAGTATCATGTTTATATCATTACAACATTTGTGTAGCTGGGAAGGCAGTTTTTACTAAGGCTGTTTATAATGCATGCAGATTGGTCCCTGTTTAACCCACTTTTGCATTTGCTATTTTGTTGCCAGTGGTAGTGGCTGTGGGCAGGTAGTCCCATGGGTTATTCTCCATTACAAGCCTAAATTTACCTCTTTCCTGATCTGGGTTAGGCTTCTTCTCATCCCAGTTGTCTTAAAATAATTAAACTCTTATTTATAAGAATGTGTGTAAAGCACATTGAATCATTCACTGGAAGGACAAGCTATTCACATTGGGAAATGTTTTTGCAGCATTTAAAAAAAATAGAATAAAAATTATATATATCAGGTGATTCACTTCCCCAGTAGTACTTTCAGATATGTACCCTTAGCATAAGAGACTTTGAAGTCTAATAGTTTAGTGGAGTCAGGGTTTCATCTCATACATTGAAAGCTTGTAATTAAATAAACTTTTATTCTATGCTTTGTGTTGCTGTCTTATTTTGATGAAACGTTACTTTGTTTGGCAGGAGTGACATGGGGAGGAGAATTTTGGATGCTGGAGGTGAGCATGGGACTTAGTAAACAATTTAGTATTGAGCTTCTTAAAAATTACATGCAGACCCATTAAAAATCCAGAGAAAACATTCAGAAGCTGCAGAATGTTGCAATTAGTCCTCTGAAAAACACAAGTACTGCATGAAAGTGATCTGCAAACTGGAATGTTTCAGATTTATGCAGTGTATGGCTAGCTCTTTGAAGTTTTCAGTCCTCTTCTTCTCTAGAATATAATTTTTAAAATAGCAAAAGCTTATAAGGAAGTCAGTCTTGGAGGATAGTGGACTGCTAGCCATGTTTAGTAGTACTATAACTTATCTCAGGGATCACTCTGGTATCTAAAAATTTCCCAGTTCAGACAGGTCAAAGTTGAAAACTTCTTATCTCTTGCTTATATGCCTAGTGTTGCTCTGACATTCCTTGAAAGTTTGGTTGAAATTTCATGTTGAAACATAAATTGTTTAGCCATCCTTATTCTCTTAGTTCATTCTTTATATATCCTTTATGGGTTACATATTTGTGATATGTAATGTGAAACATTCAGCACTGCTTACACCAGTTTCCTACGTGATATTTTTTTTTTCACCTCAGTAGTATCTTTAAAACTACTCTTCTGTAAAATGTATTGTGCTGTAGACTATGACCTGCAAGTAGCCATTACGGAAGCTTTATGCAGAATGATATCAGAGAAACAAAGAGGAGAACTGGCACGCCAATGGTTTTCCATGGAGTTTGTGTCCAGTGCATTTAAAGCAATTAAAGATTCTGAGTTTGAAACAGTAAGTCCTATGAAAAATACTTCCAGGGAGGTAAACTTCCGTTTTACAATTCTTTAAGAAATTTCTGTGTTTTAATAGGATTGCAGAAAATTTCTTAACCAAGTGAATGGCATGCTTGGAGACAAAAGAAGGTAAAACTGAATTTTTTAAAGCTAACTTACTTTCTTTTTTGGGTTTTATGGCCATTATCGGGAGTAACCTTGTGTGTCACAAAAACTGGTTTTGAGAAACTCTGAATTAAAATAATACAAGCAAATAAGAGTACTATTGCTGTGGTATAAAGTCAAGGAAACACACAGATTTAAGGTATTTTACAAACATTAACTAGTAAAGAAATTGAGTAATACCATCTTTTGGCACATTGTCACTGGTACTACCTTCTCTGTCGAGATGTTAATTTTATGTAATTCCCATATTTGGAAAAAAGACAAACATAATGTAAGTTTCAGATTAGATAGCAGCTTGAGGAAACTGTTCACTAAATAAAGAACATATTATTGAAAAGATTCTTAAACAGTATAAGGTGTATGCTACACTTCCTTTAATAAATGTTTATAAGGACCTAGTTTTTGTATTCTGTTTAGTTCTGTTGCAAAATCCCAAGATGCTGGTTAATTCAATAAACTTATCTAACAATAGCTACTAATCTGTTGGTATATATTCCTTTATTGATTTAGGATATTTACATTGAGAATATCTGCTAGAGAAATAGGACAGGAAAAGGAAGAGAAAATATCAGCTTTTTTCTTGTCTATATGATCACATGCTCTGCATGTTACTTTTATATGTCATGACAGCAAAGAGATTGTCTGGTATGTTTTTATATCCGCTGTATATTTGGTTTGAATACCATTCTTAAAATGTCAGCAGATAAGCTAGAAGTATGAACGTAGTGACGAGGTCTGAGACCACTGCTTTAATCGTGAGGATATATAAAATTTCGTGTTACCTCCTTTGGGGAAAAAGTGCAGTCAAGTTACTGCTCTTGATTGCTGTGATCTCTTAGTCTGCAAAGCACACAAGTTATGTGCTGAAAACACAATCCAGTTGCTGTTTTCAGATATGCAAAAACTATTTACAGCATTTTAGGATACTTGACAAAATATCCTTTTCTTACAGGGTTTTTACATATCCATGTTTATCAGCAGCTCTTGATAAATATGAGGTAAGTTACAGGCTTAATCATATATCCACAGATTTTCATTTGTGCAGCTGAAGAATTTCTTTGCCTTCTAGTTCAGAAAAAATAAGGGTCAAGTAAGAAAAAATTTTTTTAGGAGTGTACAGATGTGCATATATTTAAAGTTGTCAGACTAACACAAAGCCTGTTAACTGGTATAAGTCATTGCTCTCAGCTCTTACTGTCTTACGTTATTTTTTTTTGTTTTAGCTACAGATACCATTGGATGAAAATCTTGAAGAATTTTGGATTGATTTCAATGTTGGTAGCAGAAGGATATCTTTCTATGTGGCAGCAGATGATGCAGTAAGCTAATTTTTTTCTGTCGTACTTGGTTGTTCTGAGGCAGTAGGTACCCATTCTTTCAAGTGTATGAAATTTGTTCCCCCATATCAACATGTGGAAGTTATGTGTGCATCTGTATTGTGAAGGGGGGGGGGGGAATCTAGATTTGGTGTACATATTTAGATGAAACAATTTCAAAGTAATGGCTTTCTAATATTGTTTGCAAACAGTTTAACATATGCACACACGAACAAGAAGCCATTTACACAATTGCAGTTACAATTTTTGTAAATGAGTCTCAGCTGTTTAGATTAAAGCTCTTCTGAGACATTGTTTGCTGTTATCAATGCAGCATATGTTCATTGTCACTCCTTGTAGAAGAGGATTTAAAAAGTTGAAAATTTGTCCTTGCTGAATAGCTTTCTGGTCACTGCACTTCATTTAAGTGTAATATAATGCTTTTCTAGCTTTAAAAATATGTATTTTTCATAGAAGGATCATCAGTGGGAAACAGTCACGATACCAGAAGAAGAAGTAGACCTGTACAGCCTTGAAGGTATTGGCACTCAAAAATGTGACCTTTTGTTACACACTAACTTGGATTTTTGAACTGACTAATCCTAAAGTACTGACTCAGTTCTCAGCAAAGCAAAATTCCCACTTAAAATATTATAGGTACTGTTTTTATCAGGGGTAAAATTGCACTGCAGTCACATTTGCATTTTAGGCATGCGGGTGTGTTTTTATTAAAATATTTTAAAAATAATGTCTTGTAGTTATTTCAGTGCAAAATAAGGCATAAGACAATGATGTTTAATAATGTTTGTTTTAAACTAGTTAGAATAGTTTTGTAAATATGTATCATTTGTCTGCAGCTGTAGTAAATAACCTTCAAAGAAAATTCCATAGGATAATACACACAGAATAAGTATTTCTAAAAGGTTGAATCTTGAATTGTTTCACTAATAAAATTTACAGTCTAATGTACAGTAATCATGTACATCCAAGTGTAGAATTCACTTAGAGTGAATTAAAATATCTTAATAGCTGAACTAAAGAATACAAGTAAGTTTCATGTATTTACAAACATTATATGAGAAGTTGTTAAACTGTAGTAAGCTACTTTTCAAATTTTGTTTTTGTCCAGAAAAAGATTCAAAGAAATTATTAACAATAGCTCTAAAAAGCCCAATGAATGTGGGTAATCGAAAAGGAGAGAAAATTTTTTTATGTTTTGATTCTATCTTGGAAATCAAAGATATAACCAGAAGGATTTATGGATTTAGTAAATGTAAGGTAAGATTTAAACACCTTTTTGAATAGTTTCTAATTGATTCAAAATAAATGTCTCATTGCCATATAAATGTTGTTACAGCTGTGATTATTGGTATCTATTTATACCGAAAGTTTCTGATTAACATCGCTGCTACAGAACAGTATTTCTCCTATAATATGTTAAGCTTTGGTAAAGATGCTTAGTAAAGACGAGAGGAAATGGCATCAAGTTGCGCCAGGGGAAGTTCAGGTTGGATATTAGAAAAAATTTCTTTGCTGAAGGGGTTGTGAAGCACTGGAACAGGCTGCCTGGGGAAGTGGTTGAGTACCCATCCCTGGAGGTATTTAAAAGATGTGTAGATGTGGTGCTCAGGGACATGGTTTAGTGGTGGACTTGGCAGTGTTAGGTTAACTGTTTGACTTGATGATCTTCAAGGTCTTTTCTAACCCAAATGATTCTATGATTCTAAAATTTAAGATTAATTGCAACAAAAATTAACTGGCTGGAAGGGGATCACCATACCTTAATGTCAAGGCTTACATATATAATTTTCCAAAAACACAAGAACTGGATGCTTACAAATATGGAAGTCTTTCAGAGATATTTCGTTAACTGTCCCATTTTGCAGTATGCTTACCACTCTTACGAATTTACTCATTTAGTAAAAAAATTCTAGCCAGCCATAGCTTACTCTTTACTGCATGTAATGAACTACTTTGTCCTGAACTCTGACCGAGAAACTCATGAGGAATGGAACTGCTATGAGCTTGTAGAATCTATTTTCCCCTGTAACCTGATTTCAGATGCTTACGATCTCTGACTTAAATATTGTCTTTCTGTTTTTTCTTTAAAAAAAATGAGCAAAGTGTATATTTTACATAGATGGTTACTCACTTTGTAGGACTTCAGTAAGAAGCAGTCTGCATCGGTTGCCAAAACAACTGTACATGTCATCTTTGACGAAAGCGGATCACAGGTATTTTACTCCAGTATGCTGAGATGGTTGTTTTCTTGGTTTTTATATTTAGTCTGATTATTAGCTAATTTATGATCATTCACCATAAAAACAAGGACTTTTAAAATGCCAATAAGTAAAGATAACTGTAAAACCAGTTAAGTGATTTCTAGTCAGCATGTATTGTATATTTGGGGAGATATTAATATCCAAATCCTAGAATACTTCAGACAACTACACACAGGGGAAGTTCTTTTATGTGAATTATGATTCGGTAACCCATCCTTGTTAGTGAATCTAACAGTTAGGTTGCATGCTTTTCAACCTACAAGTATATAAGGTCTAAAGTTTATCAAAATCTACAGCAATGAATGTGTTACTTGGGGTAAAGAAGTTGCTCTGTGTGTGTATTTGTAGAAATATAAAATATAGTAAAATCCAAATATTGTATACAAATTTAAAAAAATCCAAAATATTATATAGGTTCTGGTACCAGAAAGTCAGTTGTCACCATGTTGGGAAGAAAAATCTAAAGAGGAGAAACTCAGTAAGTACAAAACCCAGCAACTTCCTGGAACTTTGAGGACTCTCAATAAAAATAACAGTCAAGAAGAATGCAGAGGTGGTTCCTCCAAGGTAGGTAGGATTATCAAAACAGAAAAGAGTACATCAAAAATACAAGTCAGTTTAAATATTTATCATATCTTATAATATAAAACCCCTGTTATTTTACGGTTGGAATATAATTAATACAGGATTTGATTGTCTTTCTCTGACTTGACACTAAGCTGTATAAATCCCTTTGCAAAAAAAGTTCTCATTATGTATTTTGAAACTATAACAATGTGAGAAAAATAAAATAGCAGTTGTTAACATTCTTTAGACCATTGTGCTCTGAGAATTCTCTTTAAAGAGAAATGTTTTCAAGACAAGCTTAGATCTCTTAGGATATGCAAAAGTCTAGTATAGCCTCTGGAGACTTATTAATGATCAGCAATAGTAATAGCTGTAATCAGAGACAAGTCCTATAGGCATGGCATTCACAAAGACTGATGATTACAGAAAAGCATGTGGTTGTCAAGATGAATCCTGTATCCTGGTTATTGAAATCACAGTTTCATGGGACTGCTCCTATGCCTAGCTGATTCTCTGGTTTAAACTAAGAGGAGCTCAATTCATTAAGTCTGGTGTTTCTTTTGCCCCACAATCATTCTGAAGTTATTTTGGTTATACTAGGACTAACTGCAGATATGCTAGGGATGGGGGCAAAGATGAAGCAGTGTCAGCATGTCTTCATCATGCAACAGACATGCAGTGCATGTCTTGCTAGCAGCAGTCTAGTAAACCTGTTCCTGAGGTTCTGCTGGTTTGTACTTTGTGGTAGCTTTGCAGGAACTCCTGGGAATCATCTTGGTTACTTTGATTGTTAACAAGGGACAGGATTTGTCCATACTTTATCAAATTAATTTAGAAAACAACAATCACTGATCTCAGTTTAAAAACATTCGTTTTAAGTATTATATAATTCAGGTATATTTGGTGAACTTTCTCTAGAAAGGGAACTGCATAAAAATCACATTGCATTGATGTGTGCAGCAACAGCAATTGACATTCCAATAATAGAAAGTCTCAGAAGACTCTTGGAAATACATTTTTCTAAAATCTTGTGTTGTCATCCTTAAATCTGTGTGTTATGGTCAAGTTTTTTCTGTTCTCAAGATAACCGCATCTTGTAAAAGGAAAGTGTCTGAAGCATCCGTGTTTATTCCTGGAACTACAAGATTTTCCACAAGGAGTCCACTGGTATATGTTAGCACACGTAAGTTTGCAAGTACTTTCAGGGTAAAAATATGCTATAAAACATCTTTGAAATGCAAGCATGAACTGTGATCCTTTGCAGAGCTGGAAATGAAAAGTAGACCTTATAAAACCTCCCTAGCAGGTGCTTTAAACTTGAAATTCTTAAACTAGGCCACTTGCTACTGGCCCGTAGACATGATGCAGGATAGTAGCTGCACACGCATTCCAAACAGCTGAAGGCCACCTACCGTTTTCACTGCTGCTGTCAGTCAGCTGTTTGTGCTGGAGCAAGCTGAGAAGTCAGCAATCGATTAGAAGACCTAAAACATAGGTGGTTTTCATCTCTCTCCTCACATGCTCTTGGTTTAAAGAATTATCAGCAGTTAGTGCTTTTATAGCAGTTGCGGTGGAAAAGCAGCTCTCTCTAATGTGTACATCTCTCACTTGCATTTTACTCTTACATAGAAACTGCATGTGTTTCTTCAAGGGGCAGTTGATTATATGGCTAGTGAGGAAGGTGGGATCCACTGCAAGGTTGCTACTGATGCTTATGTCAAAAGTGCTTCTTACAGAGAAAAGGATAAGGAAGAGACTGTCACAATTAGGAGTCATCACTTTCCTGCTAATAGTCTTACTGTAACAGATACTTCATACTTTCTACAAGGGAGAGAGTTGTAAGATGAACCAGTAGAGGCCTAAGATGCAACTGGTGGCAGAACAGCATGACTAACAAACAGTTTTCTTGCTTTAACTGTCTCAAGTGCATCAGTATCCTTAGTTATGTAGATCCAGTATCACATAGAAATTAAAAGTAACAGAGGCTAGAAAAGAAAGCATTCTCAGATTAGGATGGAACAAGATGGAGAACTTCTGTAACTTTTTTATTTTAAACTTAACCACACAGTCTATTCCAGCAAAAATATATTACAGTAAAATCTTTAAGTAGGTGACCAACTATTTTTGACCAGAGCCAGGCTGTAAAAAGTATTGCTTGCCTCCAGACATCTACAGTGTATGGGCTCATTACCCTCCATGTAACTTAATTGAAATCAATAGAATTATAAAAGGTACATAATGAGTTGATATAAATACTAGCCAACTTTTTTTAAAGTTTATGGAATAGATGTGATCACGGGCAAAACTCTTCATATTGATGTCACAGACAGCACAGTAATCCTAATGGAAGAAATGGTAGAATTCTAACGTGTCTCTGGTTTGTTTTCAGCCACTCCTTGTAAAGGACGATTTAAATTACCTTTGGAAATGATGAGCTCTGCTGAAAGGTCTAACAGTAATGCAATAAATGAGACCAGAACAAAGAATTTCTATCAAGAACCTACTAGAGTATGCTTGTCATCTGTAGCTAAGTCTTTTAGTTAGAGTAACATTAACTTCTGTTCGAATTTGTTCCTAATTCATATTTTAAAGAGCTAGAGTTTTGCAGTCAGGAACTCAATTTTTGAAAATAGTGTGTTTTACTTCATTGCATAATGTTTTCTTGTCCTCTGGATGTCAGGTTTAATATGTCTAAAGTCAGACTGAACTCTTACAAAATTAGCCAAAATTTGCATTCACTCATCAGTTCTGACCCCAGAGTTAACTTGCTTTTACTAGAACCACAATTCTTCCTTTGTGTATAATATGAGAATGGTGTAAGCACAGAATCTCAAATTAATTATGCAGTGTTGAAATAATCTTAAAAACATGTGAGACATTCAGCTATAGTTGTGAAATGTTAATGTCTTCAGGTTATAGCATTGGGTTTAGTGCAGTTTTGATCAGGCACCCACTAAAATCAAACAAAACTACATAGGTGTCTCTGAACTGCAGTTTGAGTATGTGTATTTTTGCTTCTGTTCCAGCTGAAGAAAGACTTCAAAGTAACATTTTTATTTTATTTCTCGTTCTAAATGTCTTTCTGGGTCAGATTCAGGTCAAATCTTGGAGTATGGGATTCTGAAGGATTTTTTTATATAGTCATGCTTTAGAAAAAGGCTTTAACATATTGAATGTGTAGTTTAGAATATTTCAAGTGTTACTTTCTAGGAGAATTTTACTACTTTTGCTTTTACGGATTGTAATTGTCAGTGTTATTTATTGTGCTTTTTAGAATGAGCAAAGATGTACACTAGACAATGAATTCTGTGAAACAGAACAGAAGATCAGGAAGTCAAATACCAGAAATGAGGCAAAACTACCTAAAAAGGTACTGGAATCAGCACTTCTATGAAAAGAAAAAAAGTCATATTTTATTAGGGAAAATACAAGTTAACGAGGTTATACTGTTTATAGTCCTGTGCTAATATTTTCTTTTGGGTGTTATTCCACTGTAGCAAATGTGTGGTGAAGAAGTTTCAGAAATGATACAAGAGGCAGAAATTGAGGCCACACAAAAGCAAACTTTAGGCAAGTAATTTTACAAGTGTTGTTAGTCCTTACTTTTAAAATTACTTGAATTTTGTCTGTTTCTTTTGTAATAATAATTGATACCAAATTAATGTCTCATTTAGATGAAGTGTTGGATATTGTTCCTGACTCTCAACCAGTAGGGAAAACCAATGAACCTTTGTAAGTATTGAAAAAGAGACCAAGTCACTGTTGTTGTCACTGACTTTGAAGGGAGTATTTTCAAGTATTGCCAGCATTGAAATTTTGTTGCATAGTTTCAGAAAATGCCAGAATTTAATTGTCTTGTCTTCCCTGAGAATTGCATTAAGAACTGTTGGCTTTTATTATTTATTATTTTAAAAACTGGTCACTTTTATTATGTCTTTTTTTTTTTTATTCTGAAATTCATGGCACCAAACCAGCACTCTCATATGTATTTGCTAAAACTACTTCATGAACAATACTTTTCTGTTGTCTTAGTCAAAGACTTTAAATTGGTGAATCTGTTTATGAAAATAGTACTCATCATCAAGATCAGAGTAGGAGTTTAAGTAAGCTTTAGTAGTAACAAGGACAGTAGTTCTTTCAGATGACATCAGAAGATAAAATAGAAATGACATGGGTTTACATAAGTGACCTGTGCCATAAAAAGTAGTTGATTTGACACACCGCAGAGTTATCTGGGTTCAGGTTTAATGATGGCCATAGGATATTTTTGTCTTTTTGAAGTTGACTTAAAAATGTATGTTGTTTCTGAAGGTTTGCCATTTCACAGCACATTGGTTAATTGAACAATGGTAGCAGGCTTAGGTAGCAATGTAAAATGCATTGATACCTACAAGATACCACTATTTTCTGATTTTGTGATGCATGTTTATTATAATTAAGACTGACTTTCTACAATTCACTGATAATATGGTATTATCTTTGTTAGGCTGTCTGGTCTTTTGGAGAGTTCTTTTGATAAAACCAAAACATGGAAAAAAAGAGCATGCTCTGTTCCTGAGAAAAATATAACAACTGGTGACAAGCAAAAGCTAAATTCATCATTGGCACGTATGTCCCATCCAGATTATATTCACACTTTGTTAACCGTTGGTGTTGAAAATGTTTCAGATGAATTTTTAACCTACAGCTTGCTTTCTCCCCACCCCCTGTATTAGTTTCTATTGTTAGTGAAAGAACTGTGAAACAAAAAGCTTTTTATTCCATTTTTTGAAGTATCTTTCTTGTTAAACAAATTAAAAAAGAGAAGAAAACCAAGAAAATTAAATTGATATCATGAGGGAAGAAAACTGCAAAATACTTAGTGGACAGTCAGAGTGTTAATCATTTGGAACAGAAACTGTTCAGGGAAAAATATTTAAACTACTACTGAAACACCATTTAAAACATTTCTTTCAGCTAGAGTGTCCGAAACATCTTTGCGTTCTGATTTTACAAAAGGGGAACCTGATGTTCTCTTTTCTAAAGAGACTGCAAATCCAAAACAATCAAAGACGGTGAGAGTTTCTTACCTTCCTTTCTTTGACTTGCAATTAAGAGAATTGTCAAATTTTCAGTGTTTCAAAATTTGTATTTTACTTTCACTTAGTCACAAACTTCTTTTTAATTGACTTTCCACTAATACTGAGTGAATTAGATAATGTCAGCTTCACTGTTTACTTTTTCAGTGTGACCTGTTTAAGATTCGTTTCTTTTTAAAAATCATCTCTTTAAAAAAATAATTCTTAAATAAGCACCAACTTGTGCTTCTCATGCATTTCTTCATTCACTTTTGAATGTTACAGTACACAATAACACAAAAAGAAAATATCTGCTAGACATGTTTTACTGCTCACTGTTTGGGCAATGCAAGTGAAAATGGTTTTCAAAGGAATGTGATTTAGTACATCCAGAAGACAGTGAAGTTTAGGTGATTGTTGGGAACCTGCAGTTCTGTTTGCAGCTTTGCCCTTCTGTTGAATGGGTTCAAAGTTGAGTCTTAAACTCTATTTTTACAGAAAACAAAGTCTAAAGAAATGACAGATGCAACAAAATCACTAATTAGTAAAATCAGTGACAGATACAAAGTAAAGACTGAGAAAAGCAAAGCAAGAGACTCCTTGGGTTTGAACAGGTAGGATGTGAACTATTTATAGTTTTGTGCTGCTTCTTTTTGTGCACGTGGCTTTGTCTGTGGTCTACTCCTCTGTCTACAGCTACTTCACATCCTGCTTTCATCTGAATTGTCTGTTCACTTCTGATAAGCTGTATTGTACCGAAGAGTAGGAGACTAGTGGTTGATAGTTCCAGTAGTTGGAATAATTACAAAGGCTGTTAGAAAGTTCAGTGGCCTTTTGCTCATTCACTGACTCAGCACATTTCGTGGAGAGAATTTAACTGGGATAGTTAATGGGCATTGTACATGTTGGGTGTCTCCTTCCTATCATCATAATTTGGGGGTCAAAGTTGGATTCAGTCATGAATTTTCTGATTATCTAAAGTTCCCAGTTCTATCTTCCTGAAAGAGTTGACAGAGAGTGAAAATTTAACAAATTCTTAAATAAGAAAATTATTATTACCTTGCTGGAACTGATGCTTGGAGATTTACTTTACATAGAATTACATGCCCTACATGTTTGATTGTAACTGGATGGCAAAGGAGTGGAATAGTTAGGCTACGTCACCTTTTAAACCTTTTGGATAGGGACTTGGAAGACATGCGGAACCTGTAGTATAGCCGTGTGATGTGGAATGAGTTTTTCTAGAGCACAAAAATGAAAGGGGCCGATCTCTTTCAGTTCACTTGTTTTTGTATTTAAATGCCCGAATAAATATGTTGTGTTTGATAAAGCTTTTATATAAATAAGCATTATTCTAATGTATATATTCTAATTAGCATTTAACAAAATGTATCCTTATTTTTTAGGACACATTTAAATAAATCCTATGTCTCTAAGGTAATAATATTATTGCTTTTGTTGGAAATTGTTTTCATATCAGATATATGCACATATATGGTGGTAACTAGTAGATGTAAAGCAAAAGTTCACAACTATTGCTGAATGTTAAATATCTGTAGACGTTGATGTTAATTATGTATTGACTGTATATACTTAAAATACTTTTTATATATTTACTTATGTGGAATCATGTTTTTACAGGCAACTATCAGCCAGTGAAACCCAACTTAATTTCTGTTTACATATTATATGATTGAATCTGTTCCCTTTGAACATGGCAATGCTAAATATTTAGAATAGAAATATTATAGTAAATGAGATTATAGAACCCTTAAATCGGATACAGCCAGGACACAGAAATTAGTCTTAATGTTTGGGGGGAGGGGAATTCCGAGGTTTTGTTTATATCCTTAAAGGATAAATTCTACAAGATTGAGTTTCTGCTAGCTCTTGTCTCCTTTTGCCGTATTGTACTGTTGCTAATGAAGTGGAAGTCTGAGCAGCTGCTACGTTTTGTCATATGTTCATGATGAAGAACTTGCATTTTGAGATGACAGTGTGTATGAATGCATAGTCCAAATTTGACATATGAGTTAACTTTTTATTTATGTATAGCAAGAAGTTCTGAATAGAAACCTGAAAACCACTACTTTTCTTAATGTAACTGCTGGTCGTGTTATGTAAGTAATTAAAACATTTTCAAACAAAATTTCTAATTACCCATACCTAACTTTGTGAAATATTCATTAATTTAGTCACAAAATTGATCTGTGTGTCTGTTTAACAGGGATGATGTCTACAACTTTAACATCAGTGGGTTTGATGAGCCTACAATAAAGCTTGGAGTAAGAACATAACTAAAATGATATGTTATGAATAGAATAATAAGGAGCTGTGTCAACTTATGTCTACTGAAAGTATAGTTAACATCTAAGTGGGGAAAAAAGTTTACCATGTAAATACCTCCATCACTTTCAAGTGTATAATGATATACGCTATACTAAGGTTCTGGCTGCTTAAAGCTATTATGATGATTTCCTGAATTAAGAATAAAACAACTTATTAGGAGTATCACTATTTTTAAATTATCCTATTATCCTGAAAGTGTTATTGCCATCCTTCCTATCCCCTCTGTAAAGACATCTTTGCCCAGATGTTTTGAGTAAAAAGAAAATCTAGCTAAGGTAAAAGCAAAAGACAACAGAAGATAGTTTTGCTTCCTGTGGCTCAGAAAAGCCTGCTGAATTGGTGAAGGTGGTGAAGCAAGTGCATGGAAACTAATGTATTAGTTCGAGATATTGAAAGCTTCAGTCAGTTCCAGTTGGTTTTAGCTATCAGTTCTGTTCTGAAATAATTTCTAAGATAGAAATTAATCGTTGTAAGTTAAGTGCTGAGTATAAAAGCTGAGCAAAAAAGCCCTTAGCTGTTCCTGTCTGATGGCCTGTTTAATTTTGTTTTAATTGTATGACAAATTAAAATCTTCACTTGTTTCTTATTTACATTTTTAGATCCAAGAATTGCATGGTCCTGAACTGAGTGTTCATACAGATCCAAACAAAAAAGGGTAGGGATGTTACATTGTGTCCTAGTCTGCTGATTATCATCAAGAATAGTACTGTCTGCATTCTCCAGCATTCCATTATGAAAATCCAGGGAATGTATGCATGGCGATAATATCTTGACTGTTGTTTTTTCAAGCAATAAACATAGCTGCTGCAGTCTCCTAGGCTGTTTCATGATTTTCCTTTGGGAAGCTGATAAAAAGGAAAGAATGTGTTTCATGAAGAAAACAACTTTAGTTCTCTTGATGGAATACTACGGGGATAGAAACTCCTGAATAGAGGGGGGGTAGTTTTTTGTTAATGACCAACCTGCAGAGGAATGTATTGTTGCTGTGTGTTCTTATGGATCATTAGCAAACAGGCACATCAAGGGTTTAGGGTGAACAGATATTTCCAAAATGGATGTGAAAACAAAAGTAAGTACACTTGTTTGAATCCTTAATCCACATATCATATGAATAGGAGAAAGATTTAGAACAAGTGTTTTTAAATGTATCATTTAAAGGTATTTTTTCTTTTTCTAATTAAGGAACACAGAGGACAGTAAAACTAGCACTGAAGTGAAGGGAAGAAAAAAAGTAAGGCTCAGATTTTTCTGGATCAGTATACCTTGTCTTCCTGCCTTTAAATACCAATTATGAAAGTGAAAGGTATATTAAAAGTAAATCAGTAACTTAAGAACTTTTTTGGTTTTTGTAGACTAGAAACAGTCAAAGCAAGAAGCATCTCTTTAGTGACACAGACACAGAATACAGATGTGATGACAGCAAGACAGACATTAGTTGGCTACAAGAATCAAACAGAAAATCTAAAGCCCAGTTAATTGATTACAGTAGAAATAAAATCTTAGGGAAACCAATAAGCACAGACAAAAGTAAGAAACTTTTTTCATATTCCTTAAGAATGCTGCAATAAGTTTGTCCATAGATATTAACTGCACAGCATGTAATGTCCTGTGTTGCAAATACAGTATGTTTTTGTTGCCTTATTTCCAAGCATAAGGAATTTTCAGACGAGTTCTAATCATTTATAAAGGTTAAGTTCCAAAAAGCCTGTATTTTAACGTGGAAAATTATTGGAGGGTGGGACAGGCAGAGGTTGCTGTCACAAAAAAAACTTTGTGCTTTTTAAAATAACGTGCTGAAAGCAGTTTACTCAATCAGTAAGTTTGTGGACATAAAAGTGATTCTGTGATTTTACAGCTAAAACTCTGCATGTCAAACATTTTAATATTTTGCTGATTTTTCTAACTTCATGTATTGTAACAGCAGATAAATTCTCTGAACCTGCTTGCAACGTGGATAAACCTAAAGGCAAAAATGCGAATAAGAAAAAGGTAAATGTTTTTGCAGTTTCACTGTTAACATATATTCATTTAAAGCAATTATAATCTCAAAAGTATTAAAATTCAATTAAGCACATTAGACACAAGAAAACCCTCACTGAAAAGGTAATGGCATATTCAATGGAGCAGATAGCTATTAAGCAGTAAACAGACATAATCAATAATTAAAAGTAATAAAACTTAGAAAAGCATCAATGCATAATATCATTCTAACTCATAGCTAGTATTATGCCTGACATACTAGCTAAATATACAGAAAAAGAATACAGTACCTGAAAAGAACAAACTATATTTAACAAATGATCTTGAAATAAGCATGGAGAAATGGCACATATTTATGAAAAACTATTTAAAAACAGTTTCTGTAGTGAGTTAAGACATTTTGAATATGTATTACAAGTCTAATTGCAAATTTACAACATTATAGATGTTAAGAAAGAAGAATAATTGCAAAATATTGTAAGCGTATTAAAGTTGGGGGTATAATAAATTATAAGTGATTATGAACATGTTAATGGAAGGTGCTTGTAGATGTTTGTAAGCCACAGTTTAGAAACCAAAGAAAACGTGAAAAAAAAAGCCCCCCAAACCTTCCCCTGTCCCCTTCAGATTAATCTTTGCTCTCTCAGACTGTACAATAGTTATTGAAATCTATTTAATGTTAGTAGCTTAAAGCTACATGCATGCACTCTGTGTAAACCATGCATATGAAAATATGATCACCACATGTAGGTATTGATGGTGATGTCTAGTCCATGTAAATCAAAACTGAAGAGGGCTTCAGTTCTGAACAGGGCTTCAAAACTGAGGAGGGTTTCAGTTGCCCAATGTTCAATTGGTCTGTCTACCAAAATGTGTCCTTTTTTTAGTAGAGAAATTCCCCAGATCTGCGCAAGCAAGTTCAAAGTGCCTGCTTTGAGGAGGTGGGCTTCCACTACTGCAGAGACTTAGATGGAGAGCATCTGAGGCCCAGGAAGTCACTAATAGACTTGACCCTGGAGATGAGGAGGCTAGGAAAGCATACGTTTTGCATAGAGCACTTTTCAAGAGAGGAGGAGGCAGGAATTCTAATCTCTCCTAGTCTGAGAAGCGTTGCACTTCCATTTTACATCCCTTCTAATGTCAGGCCCCTGGAGTACTTTCAGTGAGAACATGCTTTGCTCTATTTCTGAACATTGACTGCTGTGTAGAGAGGGTGGCAGTAATTACGATGTAGAAGGGGGACAGATAGAAAGGAAGACTGAGTCTAGTCTAGTGGTTGAGGTAATCAGTTCAGGGGTGATATCAAGGTTACTGGTTCCTGCTCACTATGCAGGCTTTTGATTTTCTTCTATTTAAAACCAGTTACAGTCTAGTTTAAATGTGCACATATTTCAGAGAGCAAACTTTGGCAACCCACTTCAGCTTTGCTGTAGTTTTTTGACTTTTTTGACTTTTTTACATTCCTGACTGCACTGTCCCCTATGTACAGTGAAAATTATCTCTGCAGAATGCTTAGTAGACTGATGGTTGGACTTTCTGAGCTTTGGTAAAGTTAAACTTTTAAAATTGTTTTGAAATAATGGATTTCAAGTAATTAAACCAAGCTATCTGCCGTTTATGCTTACATAGTTAGTTATTAATCATTCTGATATAAACTGAAGATGTTTTTATTCTTCCAAAGATAAGCGAATCTAAAAAACAGAATTCAAGAACTGATGAAGTGACAGAACAAACCACCAGACAACGGCGACCTCGAAGAGCAGCATTAGCAAAAAATTACAAAGAACCTTCCAGTTCAGAGTCAGAGAGTGAAAGGAAATCTTCAGAATGCACCTCTAAGGAGGAGAAATCAAAAATACATGTATACAGTTGCACTTTATTCTTAAAAATCCACTTCTGCCGTATTTTTCAAAATAAACTCTGGTCTACTTTGTACTTAGTATTCCTGAATTTTAAGTGCCCAACATGAGCAAGCTGAACTGAATTTTATTTATTATTTCTAGTAGTGCCCTTTTTTAACTACAAGTCTTTAGCTGCTAAGAAAATCAGTCCTAAATAATCTTCTCAGTCATAATAGTATTTTGGTTTCTATTTATGAAAATTATTCTGCCGCAAAGAACTAGTGTCCTTTATTTAAAAAACTTGAAGATATTTGAAAATGTCTATTAAATGGGAAGTTTTAGTGAGCCAAATTTTTTTTCTTTTAGTTAATGTGATTTTGGTGATTCTGTGCCTATTCTGTATGCAGTAGAAAATGCTGACTTGATAGAGAGTATGTCAATACATTTGCTGAATATCCAAATAGGATTTTTAGTAAATTAAGCAATGACATTGGGTGCTAAAACATTTTAATTCTTGTAACATAACATTTCAAGGTATATGGATAGGTCTGTAAACTTCATTGATTAAATCCTGAAGCATTGGTAGTTGCCTCCAATAGTGAAGATGTTCATAAGAATAGAAATTTGGGTGCTGAATTAAACAAATTCAATGCTTATTGATATTAGAACACCTGATACCCCTATGAATTTAAGTACTTCTAATGATATTCTTTTTTGGACCTTCTGCTTGTTCAATGGTACATATAGATGATATGCTCTTTACCTGCATTTATATACACTTCTGTATGTTTACAAATAGCGTTTATATAAACTTTGTATTTTAATAGAAACATATGAATGGGGAAAACAAGGATGATAATCAGCAGAAGGATCTCCAGAATACTGTATCTGTGGAGCCAAAGACAGTAGCTAACTATGTACCTAAAGCATTTATTAAATCAAAGAATTCTGCAGAACAAAAGGAAATTGAAACACCTTCATCTGAGAGTCCTGCATCTCTTGAGACAATGAGATGTAGGTATTTTGACTTTTAATTTACAGCAATATGGTATCAAAAGTTGGAGGTTAAATGAGGATTATTGCAGTAGTACAATTTTACATGTATTTCATGCTTTTAAAATAAAGAGATATCCCCTAACTCAGTGTGTACCACATAATTTAAGGAAGTGTATTAGTACATCACTAACACTTTTATAAGTTGATACAGTTATTTGACATCAGCATAACATAGAAGTGCAATATATAAGTGTTAGAAGGAATCTGGTAACTGCTAAAACAGTGCGGAGAATGCAAAAAGTGCAAGTGTGGCAAGTCATATGCCAGCAGTTAAAGTAAAATTCCAAACATCTGAGACTTACAAATACATAGGGTTGGAACAGTTAGCAGTATGGGGCTTTAGCTTACCTTTCTTTCTTTCATTCCTCATGCTGACAGTTAAGTAACTGTTTTCTAGGTGCTGAAAGAATATCAGAAGGCGATGTTACTCAAGAGCATATTTATAGTGAAAGATCACCTGGTCTTCAGGAGTCAACACCAGAGAAAAGGGAAATGTTAAACTTTGAGACAGGAATCTCTTCCAATAATTTCTGTCCGCAAAAGAAGAATATTCAAAGTATATGTCTAAATCAGTCCCCTGAGATGACTGTTAAAAAGTTGTCATTTGGAAATAAAAGTTTCTCGCCAGTTTTAACTGAAGCATCTTTGGTAAGAGTATTACTCTACAATTATTTTAACTGAAATTGTTCCATTCAGCTGCCAACTGTTCTATGCTTTTGTACATCTCCTTTCAATAATGATTTTTTTGTTAATGTGTAGCTCAGCTTAACGACATATAAAACGGTCAGTGGAAAACATGAAAAGGGATCTGTATCTGAAACATGTGATAATAATGAAGATTCAAGTTTCAGACATTGCTTTTCAGACACTCTTTCTGTTAAAGGAAAACTACAAGATATCACTAAACCTGTCACCAAAAGTAAAGAGGAGGTATGTTACTAAATCGTTTGCTCTTCAGAAGCGAGCTGCAGCTTTTCGTCTTATTTTATCTACTTTACAGATGGTGAAGTTTAAGGGAAATGCATCTTAATGTTAAACTCTGTATTACAGAGTTTACTTGTGACCTGCTTGGAAAATCTTACTAGTTAATTTTTAAGTATGTGAGATAAATTAGGGAGTTGTTTATCATATGGATACAAGGAAAGAATTGTATCCCAACATGATCAGTTATAATTAATGTCTTAAAAAATAAGAGGGAGTAAATATTTTTTTTCTTGACTTTCAATAAAAAATAAATGATTTTTCACAAACTAAGGAATTGTGACATCTCCATGGAAAAATTCCTGAGGTGAAAAAGTGCTTTCATAGTTATAGGATTAAGGTACTACTCTATATAACAACTGTCGTAGTATTGGCTAATAAATAAAAACTTCTGCATGCCTTCAGACCACTTCTTCTAAGTACTTTTTCTGGTGAAGAAAGCGCTAGTGACTCCTCTAAGAAATAATTTTGCTTGTGTCCTATTGCAAGAAACAGTCAGACCTTATTGGTCATTTGACTTCCTGCTATTACTAATTATGAATTCAGTGAAGAATTTGTTTATTCTTTCATCTAGTGAGACCTAGTAGTAATTCATGCAGTGACTTTTTTTTTCCCCCTTTACTGTTGTTGTGTTCATGTCCCTAGTTTAATGAAAAGCAACATAAATGTGGATTTCTGATGAAGGCTTCTAAAAGTACTTTAATTTGGAAGCTAATAAATTGGTGACTTTTCTTTTAGGATTGTGTACCACCATCTCCATTGTCTGCTTCCAGTGGAAGTAAAGTACAGTCTTGGAGTGTACCTTATGGCGCCATACATGAGTCAGGTACAAACATTTCATTTAAAGCAAAAGACTTTCTATGTGTTTCCGTAAAGGTTAAGAAAAATGTTTATTTGGCATAAAAATATGGCCCAACTCTTTTTTAATTTGGTTTTCTTCTATATTCCATTTTTACTCTTTTTCTCCTTTTCTCTGCTGTTTTAACTATCTCCAAAAACCCCGAAAATTTAGGTCCGCAATGCGGTTACTGTAAAGAGTTAGTTGCGCTCTTAAGAAAGAGTTAGAAGCATTCACACTGATCCTGGAAAAAAAGTGGGGATAATGGTATTGTCAGGAGAAAGGGGGCTTAGGGTGAATCTCTTTAATGAGCAAGTCTTGCATGGGTCAGAGTTCTGTGTTCCATTGAAATCCTGTTGTTCATTTACATCAAGTTCTCATAGCTACTGAACATGCCCTCCATAAAGGTAATGCTTATTCATTTTTATATAGTTCTCAAGCTTTAAAGCCAAGACACATACTCCTAGAGTTTGGATCCAAAGGGTTAATAAACTCTTCTTTATCCTTCCATGTCATTGTTCTAAATAACCCTAAAATTAATCATAGTTTTCATGTTTATTAAAGGACCGACTATACAGACATTTCTCAAACGAAGGTACCACAGTGATACAGAAAGCAATTCTGATGAAGTAGAAACAAGCAAAGAGGAGGAAAAGAAAGGAAACAGAAGAACAAAGTTACAGCCTAGAAAATTATTTAAAACAGATGATGCTGTTACTTACAGAGGTTAGTTATGGTGTGAAAGTTGACTGTAGTTGTGCAAAAGTTTAAAATAACGTAACAAAGTTTTAACAAAAAAAAATCCATAAAAAAGCATCTTACGTGTTTAAAAAAATAAAAAGAAATGCTAAGTATTTAGAGACTATATCTGTTTAAAAAGTCAGAATATTGATATGAAAATAGAAAATGGTGTCAGCCATCTAACTGGTGAAATTTAGGTATAACAAAAGCTGATCTAGGCCCTGCTGTAACTTCAGATAGGATACTTTTTCATGCTGAATTGTGACATTATCTTTTTTTTACTTCTCTTCAGTTTCTGAAAGCATATCTACTGTATCTGTAAATGATCTGTCTGTTTTGGATGGGGAAATCTGGGAACCTGGTTGTTCAACTATCAGTATATGTCAGAAGCTCCAAAAAGAATTTACTAGAAAAATTGAGGCAAGACATTTCACATACAATATTAGTTGTCTGTGTGGGTACATGTGCATATGAGTGATAGCTTGTCTTACACCACAGAATTTGCTTAAAAGGACATTAAAATAGCTATGTGTGTAGAACTTCAAGAAATGACAGAATTCAAGTTTCCTTTTATGCCTTTTTCAATTTCTTTATGTACCTAACTCACCAAGCCCCCAGATCTGTTTTATTTTTTATCCTGTCTGTTTCAAAATGAACTTATGTATGTACAGCAATGAGTGTACTGCATTTTGATTTGTTTCAAATTATCAAACTCATGAATGAAATTTATTTGCAAAAGGAAAACATAGAATTATAGAATGGTTTGGGTTGGAAGGGATCTTTAAAGATCATCTAGTAGTTCCAACCGCCCTGCCATGGGCAGGGACACCTTCCACTAGACCAGGTTGCTCAGAGCCCCGTCCAACCTGGCCTTGAACACTTCCAGGGATGGGGCATGCACAGCTTCTCTGGGCAACCTGTGCCAGTGCCTCACCGCCCTCACAGAAGAGAATTTCTTTCTTATAGCTAATCTAAATCTGCCCTATTTCAGTTTAAAGCCATTACCCCTTGTCCTGTCACTATCAGTAATGCATTTGTTCATCTAGGACGGCTGTAAGCACACATAATTCATTCCATGTTTACTTTCTCTGTTTTGAGGAAATATATTTTCCGAATAATGTACTTCTAATTAGGTTAGGTAGAATTTTATCAAAAGTATAGACCCATCTTTATGTACATTTCATTAACAGAAAGCTTTTCCTTAAAGGATAGGGAGATAATTTAAAAAAAAAAAAAAGTTTTTTTTCTCAATATGATCTGTGATACTAAGCAATTACAGTACTAAACATACTACAGGTTTTTTTCCTAAAGTGAAAACAATCTGAATTTAATGTTAAAACATCCTCATAGAGCCGCTCGCGGAAAATGGATCATTTTACTAAGCAATCATTAAGAGCTGCCCATGAGCATTTGACAACAATGAGTTACCAGCTTCATGAATGCAGGTCTGTAACAAAAGATTTAGTTTTAAACCACCCTTAAAATGCAATTAATACCTTCTAAAAGTAACTCATTTTGTTTTGGTAGGATCAGGCAGCTGGACAAATTTCATTTTGCTCTCCTTGAGGAACTTGAGAATTTTGAAAAAGATTCTCAGTCCCTGAAAAACATGGAAAAAGAATTCTCGGTTTGTATTTTAATTGCTTGATCATGGAGAAAAGTTAATTCTTATGGAATCCATAGATTATTCATATCATCTCTATCTTTAAGTTATTAATTCTGATTTTAAAAGCTTTTAGCATTTTGCTTGAAGTTGGGTCAAATTTCAGATAGTGAGTTTGAGGTGTTAGGATTGACAAATGCTATGCTCTTAGAATTTCTTGATCACCACTATATGTTTTTCTTCCTAGAATAAGCTGCTACTACTACTTTTAAGGCGCTGTTTACCCCACTTCATGAGCCTTTTTTTCCGCTGGCCCGCATTTCAGAAACAGCATGTGGGCATTTGAACCTGATTTGCTGTATGTTCTACGTCAAGCCAGTTGACATTATGGGTCTGCTACTTGCTGTAATGAAAAAAATCAGTATACAAATATTCATATAAACACAAGACTATATTTGCTTTTTTCTTTTACTCTGAAGGTATGGCTTAAATTATATGGAAAGCTTGACTAAAATGCTATGCATATTCTTTTCCATCGTTTTGAAACTGTTATGCAGAACAGATTTTTGGTGAAACTGGTTCCATGAAAATAGAACTCCTGAAATGTCTCATCCTGCCAGCTAAGCTTATGATTTTTCAAGCTTCTGTGGTGACTGAGTAACTCCTACCTATTCTGTGCTGAGTCTGTGGTTGTAGGTTATTTTATTCGTATTAGATAGCAGTCAGTTTTAGTTCAGAAAATATTAGTTCCTACTGATTATAATCTATTAATATTTTTCTTTCCAGACCTTTTGGAAAAAACATACACATACTTTTAGTACATACATGAAAAATGAGCAACAGAGGTTAGTAGGCTTCATTAATTCCTGGTGGAGATTTGTGTTGTGTTCATTTTGATGTATAAGTTAGGCCAACTACTGTTCTCTGTCCAATTTCTCTCTTCGATGAAATAGAGGTAGTAGATGAGATGAGAAAATGAGATTAAAATGTTACGTTACAGGAAAAATGTAATTGTTCTCCATCTAGATTTCTCCACATACCTGCCAGACTATTCCAGTAGTAACAATGATGGTAATACTTATCCGTGCTTTTAAGTACAAATAGACTACAAGTAATGGGATGTATTCATGATGTGTGTAAAGTTCATGTGTAGCAAAGCTATTTGAAATGCCTTTTATTTCTTTAGAGTTCAGATTCTTAAAACTTCGTTTGAAAAGAACATCTACCATACTGTTGACTATGAAGAACATATTTTTACTTCAGAGGTATGATGAACTTTCGTTGCTTTCTTGTTTTTAATAATTTTTAATTGTTTAATTTTACCAACAGATATCACTGTTGACCTTTTTCCATAGAAAGTCTTTATCCTCAGCATTTTTTTAATGCCACATAAGTATTTTTGTAGTTTTTCATTGTCATAAAGTATCCTTTAATATAACAATATTCAGTGTTTTAGGGCTAGATTTCACCCATTCGAAGGTGTGTGTGCAATTATCTGGAAAACTGCTGCAAGATTTATTCTGTATTCTGTGGCTTTGTTTACCAGTGTTAATCATCCAGAAAAGAACAAATTTAAAATGCAAGTCCCTTTCCTTAGGCAGGTGGATGCATGTGCATCTGTATCTCTGTTATAAACCATTTAGGGATGTAATTGTCTTCTTGAAAATGGGTTACCAGTTGTGAGCAGAGAAGATGCATTCAGTATCTTTTTATAGATGCATCTGATGAAAGAAGACATAAAAGGACTCCAAGAGAAACTTCTTAAAGAAATGGTAAATGAAGTTATCTTGTCCTCATTTTTATTTATTGTTTAAGTATAGCTGTTTGAACAATAAATTACTAAAAACTGTAATTTCTAGTCCCCTATCAAAAATAAAAATTAGTCAGAATCCAAGTATCACTGAGATGTTATACTTCAGACATTATCTGGGTGATAAAAGCAGCAGGTAGATATGGATATACTGTTTTAGTTCTGAGGCTTAATGCGTTGAATGTTGACGTGGAAAAGTATCACATTTGATATGTTAAAAGCAGCATATACTTTGCACCAGAATTACAATACTTGAAAAAAACAAAAGGAAGATTTTATTTAAAGTGTGTGACAAATCTAATGCTTTTTGCACAGCAAGAAGAGGAACTGTGTAATGTTCGCAGAGGATTGCAGACATTGTTTCAAACAGAAGACAGAATTCTGAAGTAATATTTTCAGATACCTTCCTGAAATTCAAGGTGAATATAAACAATCTTTTATAATGTAAAATTTGACAACTTTTTTTTTTTTTGTACACTCAAGGAAACTATTGTAATGGAAGCCTATTTTCCTTAACAACATTAAAATCTTTGTGGATAAGACTTCTCCTTTTATATGTGAGATTTGGAATTATTTTACTGAATCTGCTAAAATGCAATATGTAAATTTTTTTATTTTTAGCACATGCTATTTTTTAAGAAGTCTTTAACAATTTTTGTAGGCTATTTAACTGACTTTCAGAGAAATCACTTTGAATTTCACTTTGAATCCACGTTTTGGGTTTGTGTGTACAGAATACCCCTTCTGTCTGATCCAGAGTATAGTCAGAAATTATTTAGGGATCAAATTGTCTGTTTTGATCTCAATCCTGTTTGTCTGTGGTATTAGACTTCAATAGGAGTTTCTAAGAGAAAACAAAACTCTAAACACTTGTGGTTGAACTACGTTGCAAATAGTTGTATTAAATATTTCAAAAATCTATTGTCTTTTTTTTTTTTACAAAATGATGTTACTACTATTTTGATTTAAATCAGTAATACATATTTTTCACATCAGTCAAACAAAACTTACTGCTGCACAAATATTTTGTGCAAGAAAACGGATAGCAAGAGGGTCTCCTATCTGTAGCTCAGAATTGCATCCTACATACTAATGCAATCTATTCCATACACTTAGAGTTCAGAAGATTTCCTAAGAAAACGGCCAGTGAGTCATAATTTACACTTCTCCTTTGTTGCCATGTATCAACTAGAAGGTTTCTTCTGAATATTTACGATGTGCAACTCCTAAGCTAATATTTCTCTGAATTTGCTTTTAAATTAGAAAAAAACTACCTTGCATTTTATAGTTGCTTAACAACCTTTTAATCTTTTTTAACTTGCTGTCCTGCATGTATGTACTGTAAACTTTTCAGGCTCAGAACAATACCTTTAATTTTTTTCATTTAGTTGTCTTTAAAAATGGGGATTCAAACCTTACAGCTGATCAGGAAGTGACAGATGTAGAGAATAACTCGTAGAATGTGCATGTCTTGGAGCTTGTCTGCATTACCCCATGCGGAGCTGCCTCTTTACCATGGAACTGCCTCCGGATGACACTCCCAGCATCTCGGGAGCCTGAGCTCACTCAGCACCACACTCACACAACTTCACAGCTTCTGGAGCAGGGCTGAAGACATGCTTGTCTGTAGCTGATGCTATGACTGCAGAGGTCTCGAGAGAATATATTAGCCAATTAGGGGGTGACAGCCCTTCACAACTTGCTTTATAGTCCTTATTTTATATTCCATTATACCTCTTATTTTGTCCTTTGTCTTTAACATACACACTTCTCTGTCATTTCTTCCATTACCCCCTCTACCCTCTGAACTCTTCTGGTTTTCCTCAGTTTCCTTTCTATATTTCTAATACTGCTTTTATTATCGACAGAGACCTTTATTTACAGTAGTGTTCTTTGATCTAATTTTTTCTCATACGTTACTGAAACCACTCAGTCTGTATCTTTCAAATTCTTGTTTATTTTCATTCCAGCTAGTTCTGAATGAGGCTATTATATTGCTATTATTATTGTCTAATATTTTTTTAAAAGTCTAATAGATGGGCTTTCATCATTTTAAGTTGTTGTCTGCTACTTAAGTCTCATGTTGATTTGACTTCCTTCAAACCCACCTATCATTTTTTCAAAATATTTATCCAGTAGAAGTTCCCTGCTGAACCTCACCACTATCTGCATCTTTGGTGATACTTTACCAGTTCCTTTTATTAATTCTTTGTTGGCTTGCCCATGCAATCTGTCTGTCCTACAGGTACTTCATGTATATTTGATTTATCCTTCATTATTTCTGAGACTAACCATTTCCTAAAGTTTATTTTCAGAGAGAAAAAAGGCATGATTTAAAATTGAATTTTAAGGTAAAGTTAAGGTAGAAAACTCTTTGACAGAGGTCCTCAAAGAAAATGGGAAAATCTGTTGATTTCTAAATTACTTCTGTATCTTTATCCTAATACTGTTTTTAAATTAAAGAAAAAAGAAAATTCCATACTCATAGACTGTAGCCTGAACTCAGCACTCACTGAGCAAGCTACTGTAATTTAAAAGTTTGCCTCATTCAGAGCAGCGGGTAGGACCCAGAGGTGTTGGGAAAGGACCTAGGTTATTACCAACCTAAATTAATCTATGATTTTATGAAAAAGATTGCTTTTATTCTTATTGAGAATACCATCTTTAAAAAACAACTTCTTAGATCAGAAATGGATGCGATAGATTTCTATCCAGTGTGCACTGAGAGTAGAATGCAGAGTAATTGGTGTTCTTAGACTTTATTTGATGGGAAATGGTTTATTTTAAATGGAAATAGTTGTAAATGAAATATATTTCTTATGAATTAATTTTAAAAACACAAGGCTGTGTTGTCTCTGGAAACTACTGTATTGAAATTGCTACTCATCCCATCTACGTAAGTGTACTTAATGCTTTTCTAATTTCTCTGAGCCTCCTGCTTTCTGTGGGGTTTTTTTGAGCCTGTGATCACTGTCACCTCCACTAGATGGACCTCATGAGATGTTAAACTGGTCCAATTGAATTTTATCTGTATATGAAACAGTATTTTTGTCTTAACTGTACAAGGTTTAAAAAGTGCACTACAAGGCCCAAATTCTTTTCTTAAAGTGAGTCCATATTGCAAAAATAATACAACTGCTACTTTTAGTGAGGACTCATGATAAAATGGAAGTATGAAATTTTCCTGTCCACCTATCAGTCTTTACCCCAGCCCATTAACTTGTAAAAACTTTGAGCAGGTACAATCAAATTTAACAAATGTAAAATTGTGAAGCATATCATGAAGGAGTATTCACAAAGGCAAAGTTCAGCATAGGGACATGGCTTTTTTTTTTTTTCGCTTTTTTTTTTGTTTTGTTTTTAGTTTGTGGATGGAAAACCCCAGGGGTCATTCAAAGCAGACACCTAGGTGAAGTGATAGGAATTGTGCACTGCTGGCCTGTTTCTTTTTTCCGTTGGGAAGAAGCGGCACAAGAACAGCCTCCCTAAGCTAAACATGCCTTCAGGGGATGCCCTTCTAAGTTCCAGCAGTAACGGAGCACAGTATGTGGCCCAGTGAATGCGTGCAGTCTCCAAACAACTTGATAGACTTGGCCACCAGTGAGCTGACAGTAGGTAGCTGACAGTGATCATGTGTGGCTCTGAAGCAGTCACAACTTTCTGTCTCTTACCAGACCAAAGCAGAAAAAAGGCTGGGATGCTTGTGATGGAAGGACAGCTGAGAACATGGGGAAGAAGCGAAGCATATTGCTGGATAACTACAAGATGGTTAAGTTGCATTAGTCATACAGCTCATATACATTGTTTGAAATTTAAAAAGCTGCTGTAAGTTACCCTTAAAATATTTTTGTTTATTATATTTTTCGACATAATTTTAATGTGTTTTATACGGTATTTTTATTACCAGTGAAAGTATGCATCACTGCTAAACAGGAGTGTTACTTTCATGGATTATTAGCCAAGTTTGTAGTTAACAGTGGGTCACCTACTGTTCTCAAAGTAAAAATGGTTCTTCTGATGAAGAAATTTTTCTGTCCTTCCTGTTTACCCTTTCTGTATATTACACCTGGACTATCATTATATTGTTGTTTAGAATTAATAGTATTAATAATAAAATGATTGATAAATATGCTAGTATGTTAAAAGGCTAGTTATAATGTTATGTATTTCTGTGAAAGCCAGCAAGTTATAAAATTGCAATAAATAAAACAAAAAAATCTTTGGATCAAGTAATTGGGTAATTCAAGTCTTCAACTGATAGTCACCTAAGTCAAACGGTAAAAAGTTGTACAAAATCATAACTAGCTACAACGAAGCTAGTAAGCATCACTGGTCCTGGGCACCACATCTTCCATGATTTGGGAATGAATTTCTTCTAGCGCTGCCCTTACTGACATCTGTTTTAAATGTTGCACTGTATGTTCTTACCTTCCATTCTTAAATGTTAGTTTATCCAAAGGATAGCACTGTATTTATGTTATTTCATTCCCATACTGAGCAGCAGAAGAGAATTGAAAGTTAGTCTCTCCACTGTTTGCATGGATTATATTCACCATCTTGCAGGAATTTAGTAGTAGTCTATACAAACAGTTTTACATACCGTATTTTCTTTATTATTTTCACGCTTCATGGAGATCATCTCAATGAAGCTACAAGATGGAGAGTGCCTTTTTCAAGTTTTTTAACATTGAACAACTTCCTAAAAGGATAGCATTTAACTCTTGCAGAGAAATTTTTGTCTTGTGAGTGTATGTCCCATTTTTTGCTGTCTTGTCAGGCATGCTTTCCAGCTATCAGTGGTGGTTTGTTGGGTGGTTTTAGTTTTTTGTTTTAGTAGCATTTTGAGTAGAATTCTCAGATGCTTCTACATGTCAGGCATTATTAAAACATTTAGCTTTACGTTTTTCTGAACCAGCTCTATTTGCTTTGTTATTAGCATTTAGTAACGTTTTTCTTCTTACTGTCAAGAAAACATTGAAATCATTTGTTTGCTAAACATCGAAGTACATTGTTACATCTATGGTTGTCCAATTTAGTAATTTTGAATGAGAGTAACAGTGAACTTAATTGTCATTCTTTAGAGGGCCAGAACCTCAACTAGTGTAGAATGACAATCATGTTTTGCTGGTGAGGATCTGGTCCAAAACATCGATATTCCACAAGATGGAAAACCTTGGTCATCCTTCTGAAGTCTCTGTGTTGATAAAGAAGCGACATGATCTGGTGCATGATAACTGTAATCTCTTCCCTTCCCAACTGTCCCTGGGAAAAAAAGAGCTTTAGGAAACGTGTTCATTTCCTGCAATAAGTAGTCATTTAATTAAAGAACAAAAGTAACAGGAATCAAAAATGCTTGCAGCTGTGATTCTGTTAGACATTATATAAA